AAGATTTTGGTGTATTTACATACACTCAACTTCATATGCTAAGTTCTTTCTTGACTTAAGCATTTATTCGTTTACTAAGTCATGGCTGTTGAAAAAGTGGCACAGCGATTACTTCTATACAGGGCCGGTGCAGCCATTAGGCAGAGTGATGCAGTCTGCTCAGGCGATGGCCCTCCAATGGCCGTGTGAGATCTTCGATCCGCACCAATGGCCTTGGCTGGGCAACCAGGACACTAGCCACCATGGGCATACCGATAAGAATATGGCATATATTGCAGGCGCTGGTGCAGTTTGAGAAGTCTTTTTGCCTTAAAAGCCACCCATTATCTGTAGAGGAAATGGGTGTGGCGTGTATATGTGTGTATATATATATATATATATAAAGTGATTGGCTACTCGCAGACTAGTTGCACTGCAGAAGGCATGCTGGGGAGACCACTCATTACAAGGAACGCAAAATAACTTTAGCTAGGTTTTAATAACAAAAACTCCTTTTACATTAATTGTAATTTATCAATAAGCATGACCCAACCACCAGGGTACTGAGAGAGCTAGGTGCTGCTCTTTATATACTATACCAAACAGGTTAATCACCACAACCTAACAGCACCTGCTATACTGCTTCACAGCTATAAAACTAGGTCATGTTATTTGCTCTGGCCCTTAAAGAAATACCCATCTTGTGGAACAATAATGAACCTTAAAGAGACCATTCAACACCTTCTTTGCATATTTCAACACTGCCTCACGTACAAATTCAAGGAGGGACAATGTATTCGTGAAACCCTTCCAAATTCACCATCCAGTTAAAAGATGGCACACAATCCGTTTACCAGGCTTTGATTTACCTTTTCTGGGATTGAACTACCAAATAGCATACCAAAAAGTCAAGTGGCAGGCCCTGGAGGTAGCCTTCAGGCTAGGCAAGTTAGACTTAAGAAGATAGGCAACCATCCAACCCAGGGGTGTCAAACTCAAATTCATCGGGGGCCGCATCAGCAGTTTGGTCACCCTCAAAGGGCCGGTTGTATCTGTAGGACTATGTGTCCACTCTTTATTATCATAAATTATTGTCACTGCATTCAATTATTACTGTTTTTTGTAATAATGTAAGTAATAACTAGCTCTGAAAGCAGAAACATAGTCAGAATAATGGCAAGTAGATATTCAAATGTACAAATATTGTACAATTTATTCAAAAATGATTTTTGGTAACAGACAGTAATTTTTTTAAAAAAACATACAAATATTGCCAAACACTGTTTATTACACATATGGCAGACACAAGGCATTAACTTTTTTAAAACTTTTCTGACTAGATGGCTGACATCGTTTTCCTGAGGTCAGTCCATCGATGTCTGGCGTTAGGTCTTGTGCTGTAGCAATCCGCAAAACAGCATGGAGGTTATCAGTGGTGTGTGATCTGAGCTTGGTCTTGTTCAGATTCATGGCTGAAAACATCTGTTCACATAGATAGGTGCTCCCAAACATGGACAGAACATGTGCAGCTTGAAGTCGGAGCTGTGGCATCAAAGCAGGGGGGAGGAGACTGTAAAAGTCGTCGACTGTCGCATCCTGGAACTTCACTTTCAGGTTGCTGTTGCACTGAAGTTCTATTAATTCCATTTGAAGGTGATGTGGTGCACTGTCAACATCGATGTTGAAGGGATTGGCAAAGCTGGTAAAGAAGTTTTGTTCTTTAAAGTCAGAAAAGCGTCGATTGAATTCATCAAACAGCCAATTCACTTTGGTACCCAATCGAGCACATGAAAAAGTACCTGGGAATGAGGTTGAGATGCTCTGGCAGATAGGAAAGTGGGCAAGACTGTATTTTTCAAGCTGTGGCTTCCATAGGCGCAGTTTCTCCTGGAAAGCTGTTATTGCCTCATACATTGAGGTTATGACTTGTTTGCGGCCCTGCAGCCTCAGATTTAGTTGGGCGAGATGCTCATGTCACACAACATGGCAAAATCGCAGTCAGTTTGGATCTGACAGTTCTGACAAGGGCTTCCCTTTACTTTGCATAAAGAGTAATTTCTTCCAAAAGCTCAAAAAATCTCTTGAGAACGGTGCTCCTACTCAGCCACCTTACTTCTGTATGGTATGGCACATCTGTATGTTCCATGCCCACCTCCTTCAAAAATTGTTGGAACTGACGATTCAGACCCCGTGCACGCAGAAAATTCACTGTTTTCGTGACTGTGGACATTATGTTATCCAGTTGCAGAACCTTGCCACACAGCTTCTTGGTGGATAATGCAGTCATAAGTTATCAGCGGCGTGTGGCAATTACTTTTTTTCATTTTCTCTTTTAACAGTCCAACCAAGCCATTTCTCTCTCCACACATTGCTGGAGCGCCATCAGTAGTAAGTCTCACCAACTTTTCCCAAGGCAATTTCATTTTATTTACGGTTTCCTCCACTGCATTGAAGATGTCCCTCCCAGTTGTTGTCCCATACATGGCGATCACATCTAAGAGCTCCTCACTGACGGACAAGTCTTCCTTCACACCTCTTACAAAAATAGCTAGATGAGCTGTATCAGTATTGTCAGTGCTTTCATCAACAGCTAATGAAAATGCCAGATAACTGCATGCCTCTTCAGCCAACTTTGTTTTAAGATTACAGGCTAGGTCCCTGACTCGGTCTGTGATGGTGTTTCTTGACAAGCTGACATTGTTAAAAGCCTGTCTCTGCTCAGGGCACACCTGTTCACATACCTTCATCATACACTGCTTTACAAATGCACCTTCTGAAAAGCACTTTGAAGCTCGCGCAATTTCTTCAGCCACAAGATAGCTGCCTTTCACTGCTGCATCATTTTTTGCTGTCATTTTTGCAAAAATATTCCGTTGAGAATGCAGGCTACCGAGGACTTCCGGGTTAGCGCCATCGCCGAATGGCGGACTCCCTCCGAGCTCCGGAGGGAGTCTGCTCGGCAGGGGCTGGGTCCTACCGCGCCGGCGACGCGGGGACCCTTAAAAACCACGGGCACGGAGTCCGTGGACATGGGTGACTCGGCTTGCACCATTAGCGCCCTCCCGACTCGTGAAGGAGCCTTTTTAAAGGCTTCGGATCGGGTGCCGGGGAGTGGCGTGGTGCTTTGAGTCCACTGCTTTCCCTGCCGAGCGCAGCCGCATGCCATTCGACGGAGAGCGCTGACTTCTTCCATTGAAAATTTGGACTATTAACAACAACCCGTGAGTAATTGGGAAACCGGGTTCAAAATTTTGGATTTGGCACGAGCGGGGCGATTAAAAAGGAAGTCAATCCCCCCCCCTATTGTAAGCATTCCAAAACAAGGACTGGGTAACCAAGGTCCAAAGGGAAGTATATCTCTGATAAAAATCATTAATTTCACGATGGGAAATTAAAAGAAATGTGCTGGAGGAGAAGAGTGGAGGGTGAGAAGAAAAAATGCAACCCCCCCCCTGGGAACCGGGGCGATTCGTGGAGCCTGGTGAAGAGAGACGGAGACTTTGACAGCTGTCAAAGTGGCTGTCAAAGCTGGAGAATATAAAGAGGATTTTGTTATGAGGACCTTGCTGGTTAATTTTGTTACAATTTGCTATAATATGGATATAAACTGTTGGAAAATAAGCAACAATTTGACTTTTGGATTAGAGGATACAAAGTTATTACAATCCCCTAGAGGGGTTTCGGGATACTACAAGAACGGTCGTAAGTGGAAAAATACCCTGGGATTCGTACAGGACTTGTTATCTTCTGGGAAAGCTGCAAAACTGAACCAGTCTTTTGTCTACAGAGGAAGACAATGGAATTTTTTATTGAAGAAAGGAAGGGACTGGACGTAAGTTTTTGTTCCTGAATAACAAACCTCTGCAAAGACACTAGATTTCTGAATTAGAAAGTTTTAGCAGCTGAACAGGACAAGAAACCTGAGAAAGTGAGGAATAAGAAGAATAAAGGACTGATTACGACACGGAAAGAACAACGGGAGGAGTGGTAAAGATCAAGGAAATTAAAGGCCTTTGTTAGATTGGACATTTGAAGTTAAATATTATTTAAATTAATAAATTAAAAGAAAACCGGCAAGATGGAATCGGGAGAAATCTGGTCATGAAATGAGACTTCCAAGCTGATAATGTATAGACTGATGGACATGGGGAATTCAAACCGGGGACGGGGGAGATTTGAAATCCAAAGGCTGTGTAACCATCTTTTGAATTTTTCTATATCTCTTATTTTCTATTTCTTTACATAACTTACGCATGTTATTTTACTTTGATCGGACGTGTTTAAAAAAAAGGGAATTTGTGGAAGGAACTGGGGTGGATCTTGGGGAAAATCTTTTTTCTTTTTCTGTTAATGATGTGGGACGGTGGTAAGATTTGTACAATTCAATCTGGATAGTGGGTTAAACAAATTAAGCTTTAAATTGGGAGTGAGAGCTTGTAGAACCAAATTAAGGAAAGGGGAATACAATTGGGGGGGGGGGGGGGGGGAGTCCCAGAACGTAGGGACTGAATGGAAGGGTTTTAATTTTATGTTTGCTTTTGTCTATTTTCTTTGTATTTTTATATTTTTGGAAACTTTAATAAATATGATTTAAAAAAAAAAAAAAAAAAAAAAGAGAATGCAGGCTACCTTTTAATTCTTGGACCTTTTGTTGCTTTTCCTGGTGGCTAAGGTTAGCAAATTTGGCTCCGTGCTTGGTCTCAAAGTGCCGGCGTAAATTGTATTCCTTCATCACTGCCACTGCCTCATAGCAAATGAGACATACCGGCTTGTCTCCATTAATCACAAACATGTATTCACTTTCCCATCTCTCCTGAAATTGCCTTCCCTCTGCATCAACTTTTCTTGGACATTTTTGGGTTATTTGATTGTAGTTTATGGTCCCTATACCACTGTAAAGTGACACGGAAGTGGTTAGTATATCCAAAGTTTACCGCTCAGACTTTTAAGCAGAATAATAAGCAGACACCCCCCCCCCAATAAACAGACCCCCCTCCCCCCCATACATCATATGTACTTACAGTACAGGAGAGAAGGGTTCAGGCAGCCGTTGGATCTGTCACAGGATGGCATGCGCTCAATATAAAAACAAGTGGAGGTTTCCTGTGTAGAACGGCCGGCGCCGCTAGAGGGCAGACGTTCTCTGGCTTGTAGGCTGCCGCGCATGCGCTGAAGAGCCGGCTTGTGTAAAAAAAGCGAGAATAAAAGGTGAAGGCCGACGGCGGCTACACGGGCCACATGACAAGGTCTGGCGGGCCGGATTCGGCCCGCGGACCTTGTGTTTGACACCCGTGATCCAACCCAATCACGTATTCGTACTTAAAAATAATGCCTCTGCTATGGGAGCTCAATCTCACACTGAAATGGATAGAAAATTCATGGTATTGGTTGGACGTGAAGTGCAGTCACAATCAGGAGGTTCAGAAATGCAGTCCAAAGTCAGTTTTATAGTATTTTTTAAAAAACCTTTAAAGCAAAATTACCTCATCTGGTTGCCTAACACAAAACACAAAAATCATTTTATGAGCAGGAGAGCAAGATGCCAACTGAGGTCTGAACAGGCACTGATCATCCCTTCATGATGGAGCTTCCGCCTACCAGTCCTAACCCAGATTTAAGAGTGTTAACTATGGGTGTTCACCCTTACCCCCCACCCCAAAGGAATCAATCTCTGTTCCCATTACGGGCTTTGGATTAACGATAACGGCCTTGAGACCTTAATGAGAAACACTTGTATTTGAGCTTATTATTCCAGAATTGCTAACAGCTTTGCAGACAAACCCACAAGCTAGCCTTAAAGGGGGAGGACTGTTGTCTCAACAGATAGCCACCATACCAGACAGCCACTATACCGGCTTTTCTAAGGGCATTTATTACCTCAGAGATGACAGTGCTGTCATCTGGACCACCGCCTTGCCAGCGTGGAAATACACAGCACAGCCCGAAAATGGCTGTACTCCTTTATTTCTGGTCGGGGACAGAGGGTGGCGCTAGGGAGGGAGATGTCGTACTCTGAACACTGAGAGTACTACTCTTCTACTGATGGGGAATGCAAATTAGCCAGAATTTCCTTCCTTAAGTTTGCTCTAAATGCAGAACATGACTTGATATAGTTTGTGATAATCCTTATTGATAAGTTTGTTTAAACTATAGTGACCTATGATTTGCAACACCACACTGTTCATTGGCACTGCAGTTATGCATTTGTCTTTGTTCAAAAGCGAAAGCTTTCATTCATCCCCTCGGGGGATCATGAAGCCTGCAAGACTGAATAAAAGCAAACAGCGTTCAGAGCAAACAATTCATAAGTCGCTAATAAACTGTAAGTTCTAAAGATACTTCCTGAATACTAATGAACAGCATATTCTTTTTGCAGTTTAATAATGTGGGTTAACTTGTGAATACTTAACCATGAAGAGTTCAAAGCAATACAAAAATAGGTTCCCCCCCCCCTTGCAGCTTTACTCCTGCTTGTTCCCCTGTGTTAAGATCAGCTGTTAAAAGGACAGTGGGCATTTAGAGTTGGTTGTTGCTCAGGTGTTTAATTTTGCCTTGAACTGTAGGCGCACAGCATAGCTTTCTATTCTGTGTTCACTTCAATCTGTATACAAGCCCCCCACCCAATCAGCTCTATCTGCCATTTCTGGCTGCCTCCTAATGTTTCTGCTAATAAATCCATTCATCTATTCTGACAACAGAACACCCTTGGTCTGTTTCAGTCCTCAGGTTCTAGCAGAATTTGTTGTTGTTTAGTCGTGTCCGACTTCGTGACCCCATGGACCAGAGCACGCCAGGCACTCCTGTCTTCCACTGCTTTCCGCAGTTTGGTCCAACTCAAGCTGGTAGCTTCGAGAACACTGTCCAACCATCTCATCCTCTGCCGTCCCCTTCTCCTTGTGCCCTCCATCTTTCCCAACATCAGGGTAATGGAAGTATCCCGCCAACTGGCTGGCCATTGTTTGGAACACCAGCGACCCCTGAAGAACACCCCAAAACCCAAAGATCCTGCGGCATCCGACTGAACCTGAAAATGAGTGGAAAGCCTTAAAGTATCCTGCTAGAGAGATATTCCGTTATAATTTTCTAGAAAGCCAAGCCAAACCTTGAGATCTCCTTTTATTGCTTTTGTAAGGCGTACCCTATGATGTGGTGACAGCAGCCCTGCAGATAACCTAGCCAACCGTGAGCAGAAAGGCAACCTGGGGCTACCACCCAACAGGCAAAGTTCAAGTGGCCTAGCAAGGACTGAATTTGCCTGAGTGTAACTTTTTTTTGTATATTGCAAATAAACAAACATACAAACATAAATTTCATACAATCCTTAAAAATGTTCTAACATACCTACACTCAGTCCCACAGATAATTCCTTTTCCCATCACCATCCACCACCCCTCACCCCACCTTTGTGTTAGACTTCCAATCTACTCAATTGCAATTTCTTTCCACTTCTATTACTTTCTTTCACATACCTTTAACCTAATTTCATGCTTTTTCTCTTACGCATTGTTATCCATCTTATTTAGTATTCCAGTATTTAAAATGGAACTTGTTTATTCTAATAGGAGTTCTGATTTTTCAATATGGTTTTGCAAGTATCCTTTAAACACCTTCCAATCCCTGTCGATATTTTCTCTTTTGAGATCCTTCCAATTTCTCCCATTGTTTTGGATATATTGTAGTACTGCAATAATTTGGCAAGCCACTCTATTCTTGTCGGTATAATACCACTTTTCCAATTTTTCGCAATCAATAGCCTAGCGGCTACTGTTGCCTATAAATATGCTGTCTTGTCTTTTTCCTTTAGATTTCCTGGTACTATTCCCAATAGAAAACCTTCTGGTGTTTTCGTAAACATTTTTTCATTTCGTTATAGATTTCTCAAAATTGTTTGATGTTTAAATAATTCCACCATATATGTATCACAGTACCTTTTCCAGGGTTGCATTGCCAGCAGACATTGCTACAATTTTTATTCATTTTTGCTATTCTTTCAGGTGTTAAATACCATCTATGTTGTATTTTGAGGTAATTTTCTTTCAATATATAACACATAGTGAATTTCATATCTTCTTTCCACATTTTTTCCAATATCTTGCACCCATTTAATCATGGATGCTTTAACCAATTCATCCTTTGTTTTCCACTCTAAGATCAGATTATACAAGTATTTATCGAATTTTGATATTTATTTTTCAAATCCTAACTTTTTATCTTTCGCTAATCTATACTTAATTTGAATATATTGGAACCATCCTTTAATTCCAATTCTCCATTTTCTTTCTTTAATACAATTTTATAAGTAGCCCAATTTTCGTTCATATTTAATTTTTTCACTATGGCAATTTCTGCCGGCGATGCCCACGAAGGAGTTTTTGGTTCTAGGAGTCTTTTATATTGCTCCCATATTTTATATATAGCCTTCTGACTATATGCCCTAGGAAGCCTTTATGTACTTTGACTTTTTAATCTATTAGATAGGCATGCCATCCAAATCTCATCTCTACTCCCTCTAAATCCAGTATATCCGAGTCATCTAATTTGATCCATTCTTTTAGCTAGGTCAGACCCACTGCATCATGATATAACTCCATGTCAGGGAGGTCAAATCCTCCTCTCTCTTTCTTGTCTATCATTACTTTGTGTTTTATTTTTGGTTTTTCCCCTGACCACACAAATTTGGCCAAATCTCTTTTCCAGTTATTAAAACATTTATCTCCTCCTAGTATTTCCTTCACATCTGAAGGGAGGGTGTTCCACAGGATGGGTGCCACTACCAAGAAGGCCCTCAGTGAGGTTACCTGTAACCTCACTTCTCGCAATGAGGGAACCACCAGAAGGCCCTCAGCGCTGGATCTCTGTGTCCAGGCTGAATGATAGGGGTGGAGATGCTCCTTTAGGTATATAGGACCGAGGCCGTTTAGGGCTTTAAAGGTCAGCACCAAGACTTTGAATTGTGCTCGAAAATGTACTGGGAGCCAATGCAGATCTCTCGGGACCGGTGTTATGTGGTCCCGGTGGCCACTCCCAGGCACCAGTCTAGCTGCCGTATTCTGGATTAATTGCAGTTTCCTGGTCACCTTCAAAGGTAGCCCCACGTAGAGCGTATTGCAGTAGTCCAAGCAGGAGATAACTAGAGCATGCACTACTCTGGTGAGACAGTCTGCAGGCAGGTAGGGTCTCAGCCTGCATACCAAATGGAGCTGGTAGATAGCCGCCCTGGACACAGAATTAACCTGCGCCTCCATGGACAGCTGTGAGTCCAAAATGACTCCCAGGCTGCGCACCTGGTCCTTCAGGGGCACAGTTACCCCATTGAGGACCAGGGAATCCCCCACACCTACCCGCCCTGTCCCCCCAAAATAGTACTTGAGTCTTGTCAGGATTCAACCTCAATCTGTTAGCCGCCATCCATCCTCCAACCGCCTTCAGGCACTCACACAGGACCTGGGTGTCATCTGCATACTGATGGACACCCAGCCCAAACCCCCTGATGATCTCTCCCAGTGGCTTCATATAGATATTAAAAAGCATGGGGGAGAGGATGGAACCCTGAGGCACCCCACAAGTGAGAGCCCAGGGGTCTGAACACCCACCCCCAACACCACTTTCTGTACACGGCCCAGGAGAAAGGAGCGGAGCCACCATGTAGCAGTGCCCCCAGCTCCTCTAGACGGTCCAGAAGGATGTTAATGGTTGATGGTGTCAAAGGCCGCTGAGAGATCCAGCAGAGCTAGGAAACAGCTCTCACCTTTGTCCCTAGCTTGCTGGAGATCATCAACCTGCGTGACCAAGGCAGTTTCAGTCCCATGGTGAGGCCTGAATCCCGATTGGAAGGGATCCAAATGGTCCGCATCCTCCAGGCGTGCTTGGAGTTGTTCAGCAACCACCCGCTCAATCATCTTACCCAAGAATGGAAGATTTGAGACTGGGCAATAGTTGGCCATATTGGCCGGGTCTGAATATGTTTTTTTAAGAAGCGGTTTAATGACCGCCTCTTTCAGCAGGCCTGGGAAGGCTCCCTCACAGAGGGAAGCATTTACCACCCCACAGAGCCCATTACCTAGGCTTTCCTGGCTCACTTTTATCAGCCAGGATGGGCAAGGATCAAAGAGACAGGTGGTTGGTTTCACTTGTCCAAGCAACCTGTCCACATCCTCTGAGGTAACAGATTGGAATTGATC